TAGTATACCGTTACTTCGTTCGTTGTTAGTAACCGTTAACCTTAACCTTACCTTAACTTAACTACTTATTAGTTTAGTTTACTTACTACGACTCCTCTCTCTCTCTCTCTCTCTCTCTCTCTCTCTCTCTCACTCACAGCCCGTTCCTTTCTTAGCCTTTCGCATCTTTTTGTATTCATCTCTATTTGAAGCAATCTTCTCTCTGACCCAAAACTCCCTCTCTCCATCTTCCCCTTCTCTCTTTCTTCATTTAATTAAATAAGGGTGTAGTTTGCATAAGGTTGCAACTTTAAACAATCCGCACCTCTAAATTTATCATAAATGTAATTTTAATATAAAAAATTATTAAGATGGCTTGAGAATCTTTTTTCATCTCTAATTATAAAATTATACACTCTAAAAATGGTTCAAATCAAGTCTATCTATAAACACATGAAAATCTAAAAAATAGATGGTCCAAATATTGTGTGGTAAGATACACTATTTCACGGACTTTAAATTTTTCTTTTGTTTTTCTTTTCATATTGATACAGTTCGAAGTCGAGATGATCAATTAGAAGTTTTGCAACATCGAAACTACATTTTATGATGGATTTCTTAGGTGCACCTTTCATTCTACATGTTGAGGTTGCAACCTCACATAAACTTTTTCCTTTAATTTCAAAGGTAAAAAGATTTCTTACTCTTGTGAAGAACCAAACTTGAGAAATTAGTTATTTTTAAGAGAATGATTTCTAAAAAATCATTTTCATGCGAACCAAATGTGCCGTAAAATAAAGCTTCTTTCTCATTTACATGATGCCCTAACTGAAAATTGCAGAAAAATATTCTAGGGTATTAGCACCCCACTAGCCCCAATCCACCTCCTATGGATTCATATGATCGTGGCACATTTTTTTGGGAAGCTTCCAAAACCACTGCTTGTTGTGAAGGTAAAGTTGATCTCTAAGAAGGCTTGGAAGAAGATTAAGGAGGTTGGGGAGGATGTTATGCTAACTCAGATTCAAGCATTTTTTTCTTGCTTTGAGATTTTCAATTATCAATTTAGAAGCAGGAAGCAAGTTAAAAAGTCAGGTTTCATTGAAAAAAATGGTGGTCTTTTCATTTTGCAAATCAGGGAATATAGGTGGAGATGGAGTTCTTTTGCTCTTGAATCAAATCTTCTCTCTCTAGACTAACTCTTTTGCCTTTTTCTAATCATATTTTTGGTGGAGAGGACAGGGAGAGACCAAAAGGACAATAAAGTAAAATTAGGTCAACTTAAAACCATTTACTTGCTTCACCATTTAAGAGGTTACCATATATTTTCCTTGTTGGTATGGACACTCCAAAATTTCAATACACCCCAACATTTAAGATGGACACTCCAAAATTACAATACACCCCAACATAGTGTATTTATAATACAAATCATCATTCTCTTTTTAAAAAAATAAAGGAATAGAACTGCATTATGACAAAACTAAGGTAATGCTATGTATTTACTAGTGTGTGTGGTTTGTAAAAAGTATGAACTTTAAACAATCAAAGTCAAGTGCACCTTCAAATCTTGCCAAAGATGCAGTTGCCAGTGCCAAAAACACCTACAATGATCTAAGCTCCGTTATTATGAAATTTAAAGCTTCAACAAAGGCATATCAAAGAGTTTAATAAAGACTTGAAAATCTTAAAAATAGACAGTCTAGATTATGCCAAATACACTATTTTTAAGCCTTGAGATTTTTTTTTTACAAAAAACTTATTTATACAACCAAAGGTTGAGAAGATCAATTAGGGGTTTCTCAAGATTACAACACATTTCTGATGGGTTTCCAAGATTTCCATAACTTCTATAGTATTAGGTTGATGGCTTTTATAAACATTTTTCTTTACTAATTCAATATTAAATAAAGGGTGAGGCCTGTAAATATTAAATAAGGCACACCTCTAAATCTTATCTATGTAGTTTCGATGCGGAACCTTATGAATTTTAAAAATTTATTTTTATCCTTAGTCATGAAATTTTAAATTTTAAAAATGGTACAAACTGCATATATCTGTTTTTTTTTTTTTCATATCATTACATGTTGAGGTCGATACAATCAAATTGAAAGGTTTTTCAACATCATAACACCATCTCCTAGAGGATTTCTGAAGTACAACTTACTCCAATAGTATAAGGGACACCTTACATAGACTTTTCCTTTCAACAGAAGTTATCCAAAGCCTACATAGATTTGAAATAGGAGATTTGCATAAAATTGTTCTTTTTGTTTCTGCATTTGAAACATCCAAGTTTATGCCATTATATTGTGGCATAAATATCACAAAACATTTTATTTGTTCATAGCAGGCATATATTACAATCTGCCCATTACCTTTACATAGCATAACAGGTAGGGAAAGTTCTTGTTCTAACGATCAGTCACAGTGTTTTTAACGATGGATTTTACCAATCCAAAAGAAAATGACCTTTAGGTTCAGTTTAAATGCAAAATCAAACAGGTTTTGTGTTATTATTTTTGGGCAAATTATGGAAACCCCCTTGACCGTCTTTTCTAGGCATACCACCCCCAATATTTTGTAAATATTGATGGCCAATTTCATTGGACTGTATATCACGTAGACCCAAGTCCTTCTAAAGTTGTCAAGCAAGCTTTCATGGTCTGTTTTGCAGGACCCAGCAAACCCTGTATTATAGAGGGTTGCAGTTCGAATGTTTGGCTTTTCTCTGGAATCTCTGAATAGATGGTCCTAAAAATTTGGGGGATAAGGAAGTTATCCACTATCATTTGAAAAAAATAGTCACTTTTAAAAAATTTGAAGTAAATAATATTTACATAATGTTTTTGAGAAAAGTATTAATTAGATAAATCAAAAAATGTGGTAAATATGAGGCTCCATGGCCACACATGCACCATCATACACTAGTGTATGGTATGCTTTCCGAAGGGAAAGTCCTATGAATCTCTTGTAGTATAAGATTCTCATTTGCCTTTCACAGCAATGTATGAGACACCCGGAGTTTTGGAATCTCTAAAGAAATCCCAACAACAGGCAACAGCGCTTATTTTTGCTCGTGCATGGAGTTGTGCAAGGAAAAGATGGTGAGTTCTCTCTCTCTCTCTCAACACAACCAAATGGAAACATGAACCAATTGTTACTCTCATTGTTGATCATATAGAATACAATCAGCAATTTCCCATATTTTTTATACTCTATGAAGCGTTATGTTAAGGAAATTCTTGCCTTAGTAACAGTCTTCTGCAAGACTACTCGGCCAAGGTACTCGGACCTTGGCCGAGAAGTCCTTAGTAATGAACCATATAGACGCACACCAAATTTTACCTTGGCTGAGGCCAAGTCCTTGGTAACGAACCATCATAGACGCTCACCAAAACTTCCCGGTACTGCAGAACCCCCTTAACTTGTACATCAAATTGGGACAAGAATACTTGATTTGCTTTGTCATATGATATGTTATGGTGCCAGTGCATTTATATATGGTTTCAAAGGAATCAACGCTAACCATTCCCATGATTTTTATGCTCTATTTTTTATTTTTTGTGATTATCAATGCAGGTCAAAGCAGAGACCATGGTGCTTGATGGCGATCCCAAGGAAATGATATGTGAAGCTGTTGAACAGACACATGCAGACCTCCTTGTCGTTGGGAGTCGTGGTTTCGGTAAGATAAAGATGTGTGATGACTAGATTATACAGTTTAAGGTTTTTCTCCTTTCATTTGATGAACTCTTGCTTTTCATAAACAGTAGGAAAGTTTTCCTATGAAGTTCAGTTTACTTAATTTTACTGAGGCCTTTACGACACAAGTTTGTGGGGTGATTAACACAAGAAAAGACAACTGAATATAGAAATCAAATCTTATTCTTGTTTTCTCTTTTAACAGGAATGACTGCAACATTTTTAAAAAAATTTGCCTTTGAGAGAGAGAGAGAGGCACCCAATTCCTCACTATGGCCTCTAACCCTGGTAATTTCTGTTTGGTTGCAGAGCATTTCTGGGAATTGTTAGTGACTACTGTGCTCACAATGCAAAATGCCTTATCCTTATAGTCAGACCCCCTAAATGACGATCCCTTGGAGCTTCCATACCTAGTAAATATGGTTTATAAATTTATGAGTCTGATAAATAAGTGCAACCTCAGTGTGTGATTATACTGTTTCAATATATCCTCTACTGAGTAGAGAGTACTGATGATTTTGCCAATGCTGTCATTATCGTAATGTATTATGATTTTGAGGACTGGGAATCTGATGTAAAATATGCAAATAATCTAAATGTTTTTATACCCTACTGACAATTTAGAGATGGGGCCGCACTATTTAAAGCCTCACATCAAAACTCACATAAAAAATGTAACTCTGGTGTTAGGCATCCTTCAAATTGATCACGGCCTTGAAATCATTTTTTTTACAACAATAGTATTCAAGTCTAAAGAGTGTCTTGTAACAAATTACGCTTTGGCCCCCACAAAAAAAAAAAAAAGAGTTCACGAATCCGTAAGATTTGTACTATGTTTTTTATCTTCAAATTTTATAGTTGGCATAGGAAATAAAGTTATCGTAGGTATTTTCAATATCCTAAAACACATACGAGAATTCTGAGGTGAAGTTCTACTTTGTTTTTATAAAACCTAGGTTTTATAGAGACTGTATTAAACCAAAGTTGTTTTATTTCCTATTGATAACATTAAGATCTTAAAAAGACACAGTTGGAATTAAAAAGACATAATTGGAAATAATGAAAAGAGATATGAAGATTTATAACATTATTGATAATATGGTTCTAGATAGAGTAGAATGGCATATCAAGATTCATGTAGTCAACTTCAAATGATTGGAAAAAAGTTCTAATGATGATAACATTTAAGACTTGGACAATTTTTAACCAAACCAAAATGTACTAATTGTTTGTAAATCTTCACTAGCTTAATCAAAACACACTATAGACATGGCATTTACAATATCAAAAAATAGAATGGTTCCCTACTCGTATGTTTAGAAACATTTTAGAATCATATCAAAGAACCAGTAAGAACAAATCACATTTTAAAATGTCTGCCGAGTAAGAACAATCTCGGATTTTCTTTAGAATGCGAGGCACCAAGAACAATGGTGGTTGGTAGCGACCATCGGGACATATTTTTATCTTGCCAAACAAGGGGAATTTTGCCATTTATGGTGGGGGAGCAGCATTTTAAACCGGAATCGGGTTCCTGGCCATACATACTAATTCTCCACTTAGGGAGTCGATCACAAAAATATTTAAATGATATTAAAGGTTCAAGAAACGTAAAAATTACCAATCAAGTAATAGGCATATTATAATGCGATCTCTAACATCAAGGCTACGTGCTGCTAGTTAAAAGACCTCCATAACCATAAGTTTTCCAATGAATATGCAAGGCGATCAAGATTGTTATGACCCTGATCGTATCTACAAAATAGAGCCTTGCTTTCGTCGAGACACATGCCAACAGCTATTTCCATGGATGTATTAGGAAAAATACCATGGATCAAAGTCGTATGCTTTTTTCTTTGATAACTAAATATCCCTTTGCCTTGTATTTTCCCTTTTGAAGTCCATATATTTGTAAAATATATACAAATAAAGCCACCCATTATGCAGGCTTTCACTCCAAGAATAAACCTTGCAAAGAGAAGAAGCCATGCCTAACCTTTGTCCTGCATTGCCCGATTATTTCAGATGCGCTTTGGTGGAACATATGGCACGTTGTTGTCTTCACAGACATTCTAAGGAAAAAGAGAAGAAAAAACAATTGAATATTTTCATTTTAAGTGGAAGTAGAAAGTAAAGAAGAGAAAAAAAAACTTACAAGGAGGAATACTTTTTCTTTTCGATATAAGAAAAGGAAACAAGAGTACACATTGTGTGCACCAAAAGATACATGGGCAGGCTATTTGTCATCGTAAAGACACAACGGAGATGGATGTAGCTTTGACATTTTCTTTGTCGACAGTTTGTTTCCACTGTCTATCATTGACAATGGACAGTGGATGCCATGCCCGTGAATCTTCCAGTATACACAATGCGCATACCATGTTACCACTCTGAAAGAGTAGCTTACATCCGAGGGCCTCCAGAAAAACGAAAGATGAGCTACAACCCCGTACAAGATTCATGTGACCAAGATTCAACAGAAGTGGAAGAAATAATGATTTCTTATAGTTACAACAGATAGAATCTCTTTAGTTGTTGAAGGCTAAATTAAAAGTTTAAACCATTAAGAGCTAGATTGGATTTGCACAGATGAAATTTGGTTTGCGCAAACGCGACTAAATTTCCCATTGGATTTGCACAAATGAAATTTAGTTTGCGCAAACCCAATTAAATTTCCCATTAGGTTTTGCAGATTGAAAAATTAAATGCACATCAAAAACCCACAAAAGTAAATCGTAGTTAAAAGAAACTAAACTAATTGGCTTATGTGAGTGCATCTCTCTGTAATACATGAGGATTTTTCGGGTTTTGAAATTTCAGCAACCTAAACTTAAAAAAGTATACTATTATCATTATTAATATTATTGTTATTCTTATTCTTATCGTTCTTAATGTTATTATGAAAGAGAAAAAATATCTCACGGCTGGGGCATTATCAATTATGAAGATCGCTTGAGTGGTCAAACCTGCATTTCATCTGAGAGTTGCTCTGAAACAGCAAGTGTATAGCAACCAGGAACAAATTTTGCTGCCAGCGAAAACAAAAATATTAGAATCAAAACTACCCGAAACTAATAAACAAAACCATGCAATCTATGATGCTCTGGATAAAATTCAACTACGCAGACTATTAAAACTTACATAAATGCACAAGTATGGCCAAGAAAAATAATCATACTAGAAAGTCATATTCTTGTGAATGCAGGAATGACAACAAATAATTGTTTTCCAATGCTATAATTATTTAGAAAAACAAAATAAAAAACAAAAAGCAAATAGATTTCAATAAGATTGAGATGTGCTAACATAGTTTTTCTGGAATAGATAAACGTTTTATCTCTCTCTCTCTC